TTAATCAGTATTCGGTTACTCGACTAATTTGTACACAGTGCAACCTACTCACGACTGCCATAATAGAATAGAATATAAAATAAACTTTATTCTGGGAGGATGTCCCCATGATGGGAATAGTTACAAAAGAAAAAATACATATCTGGCCAAAAACTAACCTAATAAAGGTTCAAAAAATATATACAACAACTTAAATAATAATATTAATTGACTAAAATAATAGTAAATGGCTAAAAAATAAAATAAAATCTTCTCAACTATACTTGTAATTATATTTGAAAAAATAAATAAATGAAAAAAAAGATTTACATGTATAGAAAGAAAAAGCAAAATCTCTAGAAACGAAAAAATATCAAAAGTACTTAAACAAAAAGTATTGACTTTTTATGTTAAAACATAAACAGCTAAAACATGCAAAATATATAACTAGTAAAGATATATTAATGACAGAGGATGAGCAACGGGATTACAATATTGCATTATCCCAGCATAATAGATATAAAAGTAGAATAAATAGATATATACAATTAGGAAGGGGCACAATTAATTTTATGATAAAAAAATTGTGACAAAAAAAGAAGAAAAAAAAATGTAATTAAAAGAAAACAAATTATGTATATATATATATATATATATATATATATATATATATATATATATATATATATATATATATATATATATATATTTGAAATAAACTATAAACTATATTTACTTCTGAATATTAGTTTCTTAATTCTCCATGATATTTAAATTTTGATAAATTTTATTCTAAATGTTCTGATCTAATTCTGCGTCACGTCAAAATACTGTAATTTTGAATTATAGTTCATTACATAGAACATGAAATGCTGAAAATTTCTAGCCCTTACAAGTATGCAGATCCAAATTTTAGTTTCTGAGATATTTTTATACAAATTGAAAAATTAGTTCACTAGAACCGACTATAACCGATTGAGCGTTAAGGTTCAGTCTCATTGGATATAAAGCGCGCATAAAAAAAATTTTCACTTAAAAAATTGTAAATTTAGCTGAATATAATTCATGTACTCAATGACTTCTTGCAATATTCCGACGATATAATATATTTTCTGAAATAAATGCGATAGTCCTGAAGTCAAACAGAGCCGCAGAAGCCAGGAAGCACAAAGATGTGGGGTTGGAAACAAATGCGCCCGTTGATTAGAAGCAGACCTTAGAGCCTAGAACTAACAGAGGCCGGCTCAGCACTTTTGTTCTCCAGCCTACTCTTTTGTGCCCTTTCATCAGCGAGATTACTAGGTCTCCTCCGCCCGCCTAGGTTCATACCACCGTAATATCAACAATATATACTTTGTCATTCCTTGTCCCCTCTATACCTCTCAACTGATCACCTTGTTTAAATGGTATTTTTACGATACCACTTCATGGTATCGAATATTAGCAATAATTTATCATGTCTGACATCTTGAATCACTATGACCCCTTCCGCTATTATAAGAAGCTGATGGTAATATATCCAGAAGTAAGTGCGAATTCAAATAAAATTTTTAGATAATCTTATATGTAAACACATTACCTTCACCCTTCGGCGTAATACCTGCCCATCAATTTATTTTAACTACATTCAGCTTCCTTTCTCAGACACAGTCCGGTATCTTGGCTTTTTCTTAGACAGACGACTAACATGGATCCCACATACTAGACTTAAAAGACAGAAACTTAACAGACGATATGGCCAGCTATATAGACTACTGAATAGAAAATCTAAATTTTCAGGAGAAGACGAATTGCTGATCTACAAGAAAATACTGAAACCCATCTGGACTTACAGACTAGAACTATGGGGAACAACTAAATTTTCTAACATCAAACGCATTCAATCCTTTCAGTCTAAAATCCGCTATACAATAGACGATGATCCCTTCTATGTCACCAATAAAACCCTGCATAATGACCTTAATATTCCATTTATTTTTGATCTTATCCCAGACAAATTTTCCAAATTTCATCAGAACGTTTCTCATCACCCAAATCCCGTTGTACAATCCCTATCAAACACCATCCATCCCTACAGTCCCCTTCGTATGTTAAAGCGGCAGTGGCCACGAGACCTTTTGTAAATATGGATATTTTGGAGTTCTAGCAATGGCCAGATTCTCCACTCAAGTCATGAGAGTATGTGGCTGTAGCGCTCTTACTCATCCTCTGCTGGTTTTAAATACCAGTGAAGTGGCTGAGGAAGAAGCGCAGGGATCTCCTAAGCCTTGCATTTCCCTCCACATGTAGGGGGACAAGATTGGTTCGGAGATTCCCTGGCTGATTGTAAATAGGTATACTTGTATCTAAGATGTTTATTTTACTTTTATTTCTATTTTTACTTTCTTATGTGTGTATATATATATATATATATATATATATATATATATATATATATATATATATATATATATATTTTTTTTTTTTTTTCTTTTGTTCTGTTTTTCTTATTCTTTTGTTATTATTTTATTTATTTATGTTTCTATATATATTCTGTATAAATGTACTCTCTGAACTCTATTATAAGTATCCTTAACTGAGACAGATTGTAATATTCCTCAATAAAATGTTTAAAAAAAATATATATATATAATCTTGTCAAATCATTTTTTTTTTAATATTAACTTGAAGCCCTAAATGAATATAATATAATTATATTTTCCTTTTAAAGATGTTGACTATTCACACCCCATTTTTTAAAACAAACAATTTTATTTATTAGGTGTTAAGACTCTCAATGAATATATATTCTTGGTTAAACCTCCAAAGGAAGCCTTGTATAATTATGTAATGCGATTTAGAAAGTAAGTTTTTTATAATTAGTGTACAAATTTTCAAAAGGAGGAGAAAAATAAAAAAAAACGAAGAATTGTCTAAAGTTCGCAGACAATTTGGTTGAGCGGACATGTCATATGGTGTGATAAAGTTAGGAAATCGTCATATAAAATATATCAAAACTAGAAAGACCAAAAACATATCTAGCGATAGTGGTGCTTAAACACATAGGTGGATTATTAGTAAAGCTGACTGGTATAAATATTGAAACTTTTAGTAGTAACCGTACTACGCGTTAGTACTCGGGCCTTTTGATATCCACTGCACTCACCCGATTACGCTCTATGCATACATCAGAATTGTAAATTAATGCATTTCAGAGGATATTTAAGTTTCTTTCGGATCGTTTTAAGTTTATAGGTTCGGTTATTACATTATGCCAACATAATTTATTGGCTCCAAAACACTTATGAGCTGTTATTGATATGTATAATTCTTCTTTTCAATAAATAATGTCCATGTTACTATAAAGTCCGTTATAAAACCTGAGTTTTATTAGTATATCTTAATAAATTTTTGGAAAAACTTCGGAATAAAGAGTAAAACCGAAGTTTTGCTATTAAATCTTGAAGTCGTAACATGGCATGGTAGTTTTGATATACATGTATATATATATATATATACCGATGTACCGTGTCCTCTCATCGGAACTTGGAGTCAGACTGAAAAGAATAATGAATGGCTTAGTACGATTTGTCAATGGGACACCGAGACGCTGTCCCATGTTTCCCACTACTACGCCGAGTCAGGATGGCTCTTTTACTCCTTCAGAAGACACTACTTCCTAGGTACATTCATTTACCAAATAATCTATAATCATCATCCATCCTACGCATTCAATCTCCTTCAATTCAAGTCATCTATCCACTCCCTCTCCACAAGATCTCGTCCTTCCAACTTTTATACCCCTCTCCACAAATCGGCCTCATTTCAACACTCCTTTATTGTCCGATCCACCACATTTTGGAATTCCATCTCACTTAAAATCCGCCATGCACCATCCTTATCCACATTTAAAACCCTCCTTTTCCAATTCCTCTTTACAATTCAATCAGACGCTGGGTAGCCTATTATTGTATTATTATACTATTATTGTATTATTATATATATATATATATATATATTATATATATATATATATATATATATATATATTAATATATATATTGTATGTACTATTATTGTGTTCTTACTATTATTGTATTATTGTATATATGTATTATATATATATATATATATATATATATATATATATATATATATATATATTATATATATATATATATACTATTATTGTATTCTTCGAACATACTATTATTACTATAACATCTTTATTATTATTATTATTTCATTAATAGAATGACATGACAACAAAAGTTATTTGTCGCTCATTTATAATTTCATAGCTTATTGTTTATAGCAACTATTTTGCAGTATTAGGGCCTTATTGCTCATATTAAGTCTTCCTATATCTGTACAGTTTTGTAAATACTTCTTTTATCCCTTATTTTTTAGTTTTTTTTTTGTTTTTGTCTATTGTAATATACATTTTGGCCAGATGTAATGTTAATTTTATGTACAATGGTGTTATTCTCAAGGGACGTAGTGCCAGAATAAAGTTTATTCTTCTATTCTATATATATATATATATATATATATATATATATATATATATATATATATATATATATATATATATATCTATTTATTGATCGATATATTATTCTGTCACATGGTACAATAATAAAAATTTATTTACAATAAATATAAATAAAATAACTTAAAGTTAAATAATTTGAAAAAATAAATGAAAAACAGACATACTTATGTACACTATTTACAATGAGACAAGGAAACTGCAAGCCCGGTTTTATAATTCCAATCACTGAGGTAAAAACAGGACTCCAGTGATCCCTTCTTCTCTCTCAACCGCATCACATGAAAGCCTGTGTATTGAGCAATTGAGCTGTTTACATTCATGTCTAGAGCGGAAAATCTTGCAAGTATTCACCAAATTCTGGCGATAATTCTCATAATTATTTGTTGTTATTTTTATTTACCATCACTAATATGATAATCTATGTATATTATTCTATATTTTAAATAAAATGAAAATAAAAATAAAACAGTTTGCCAGTTAGCTGGAACTAAGGGACAGCCCAATATCCCTCACGGTCGAGGTATAACCCCCTGAAAGAAGGCTCCTCCGGCCTGTTACCCAAACGGCCAGGAACTGTTAGATCAGACAAAGAGAGGCGATTTGTCCTGTTCCTCCGGATTGGACGGGACTGAACCAATCGATTCCAGCTCCATAAATCCTGGAGCACAATGCTGGAGCCGAAGACAGCATTGTTCGACTGACCCCACCTCCACCTGCCTGAGTTATCGGCTCTCCAACTTCCCAGCTCCCTTCTCGCAGAGTTCCTTACACCTTTTAAAAGATTGCCTCAAGTCTCCACGTTTAGAAGAATGTTTTCTTAGCCACTTGGTTTCTATTTTTTGAACCATATGTCTTTATTCTATAATAATAATAAATTAAACAATTTTACTTTTTAAACTATTGTTTGCAACTTATATAAATAAATTTGTAATCAAATAGATGTATTTATGGGTGCGATCTGATATATTATACAACACAACGAAATATAATGTTCAATGTGTGCTGACGTTTTGGTTTTTGGATACAATACATTATAATACTGAAGAAACTTTTAAAAAAATTTTTTATTATTTATTTATGATATTTATAACTGTATTTAGAAAACATACATTCAGTAAATGTGATAACAGAAAATACAACATGAAAACACTTGTTGATAAACTACCCACTGGTAACACTCTATCAACATAATTTTATCAACATAAGTTAAAAGGAACCAAACCACAGTGCAGACAAATTTTCAATTTCTTTAAAAATCTATATTATACATCGAGCCTTATTGCATTATATATTCTGAGACATTATATATTCTTTTTGCCAATTTTTTACAAAAATAAGTGAGAAATAATTCTAAGAATAATAAATGTGGTGTCATCCCTCTTTGTATATGTAAAATAAAATATGATAAGGTCACTGAAAACTTTTTTTTATAATAAAGAGACATAACATTGTATGTCTCGCTACACCGATAAAAACATAAGAAATATATATATGTACACCTGCCCAGATTAGACTTGATCCTTAGCTGTTCAAATCGAAGTTACTAAGGTGACACCTTAACTCGCTCGACCAATGTGTTAATTTCGCCATCTTCAGATTTCTGGGACGTAAATAAGAAAACAGTCCAGTAAATATTCCGTTATCCTGAAAATCAATACCTATACATTTTTTATCATAATTTTATTTTTTAATTCCGTTGCTGGTAGATAGAAATAAAGAAGATAAAATACTCCTTGAGACCGCGTCCTATAAATGAGACGAGATTTATTTATAGGCTAGAGTTTATTGCCGATAGGCCGGCGGCAGTTGGAGTGGCTGTTGTCCCAGTTCAAACACTGCCACCCTTCAAGGAACAAATTTACCTTGGGCTTGGTTAAGTACTTCTAAAACTCAAAGCACTTCTGTACCTTAGCTCTGCGGTCCCTATCTTGTATCTATGTATGCTTTGTATCCACCTCTCTTATTCCATAAATATAGAATAGAAAATAAACTTTATTCTGGGACGATGTCCCCTTAGAATAACAATAACGAACAGTTCCAAAAGAAAAAAAATAATACATATCAGGTCAAAAACTAACTTAATAAAGATTCAAATAATATGTACAACTTAAATAATAGTATGTAAACAACTAGAAAATAAAATAAAATCTTCTCAACTATACTTATCATGAAATAACATGAAAAAAAGAATTACATATATAAAAATAAAAAGCAAAACTCCCCAAAAAAGAAAAAAAAAACATCAAAACTAAGTAAATAAAAAATATTGACTTTTTATGTTAAAACATAAAACACAGTTAAAACAAATAGCTAAAATATATACATAGAGTAAAGATATATTAATGACTGAAGATGAGCAACGAGGTCACAATATTGCATGATCTCGAGATAAGAGATATAAAACAAGAATAAATAGATAAATACAATTAGGAAGGGACATTAAATTAATTTTATGGGAAAACAATTGCGAATAAAAAACTAATTAAAATAAAATAAATTATTTATATCTGTTACATAGGAAATTAAAATGAGAACTCGAAATGGTATTGTAAACTATAAACAAACGCTGATATTAAGATAGGATATATTATTTCTTCTACGTTTTTCTTTAATTTAGAGATGAATATATTTTTGTGATATATTCTAGAATATAGGTTTTTTTAAATTTGCCGACGTTTCGACTCAAATTTGTGGGTCATCATCATGGCTAAAAATAAAATAAAAAAGTGTTTCTTTAATATTCGTTTATTTATATTAGACAGACATAGAGGATCTCTCATCATCAGATGTAATGAAATGTAGCGAGTCAGCTGTGGGGAAAAATACTGATAGTGGCAAAATGTATAGAGAAGGAAAGGAGTACCCTACGGCATCCCTTCTTGACTTGATTTTAGTATATTTTTAAGTGAAGAAATCTCTCATCCAGCTTCTTTTGAATCTCCGAAGCGTGTTTTCGTTCATGTTAATCGTATCAGTGTGCTAGTATGTCCATGTAAGTTATCGTGAAATTTGTTGTAGTCCCTCCGTTGGTTAACTGTTGCCATGTTTAGATCTTTATGTTTGTTTGTTTGTTGCTGTTTATAGGCGTAAAAAACCCAGGTCATCAACGCCTACGGTTTATATCAAATATAAGTTCAGTTGTTTATGTAAAGTAATGTTTGTGACGTACCATGGAGCTTTCTTATAGTCCTAAAAGTTTTTTTTTCAAAGTTTTGTAGTTTTCGTATGTGGGACGTTTTGGCTGTCCCATATATTTGTGCAGATTATTTTTAATATAATTTTGAGCGTCTTGAAAGAAATATAATAGTCGTAGTCTGAGGTATAATATTTTTCTTGATATGTGGATCTTAGGTTATACTTCTGTTTTCTGTTGGAATTTCAGTCCAAGATATTGTATTTTATCTGTTTGCGAAATTTCGATGTGGTCAAGGTAAATGGGAGGGCATATTTCACATCGAAGAGTAAAAGTCATCTATTGTGATTTGTCTTGGTTGAGTCGGATTTTTCAAGGTTTGCTGCAATCTTATAGTTTTTTTTTTATTATGGTGTTGTAAAGTCTGTAAGATGTGTGTAGGATTTTTATATCTTGTCAGAATTGGTGTATCATTTGCATAAGTTGCTGTAATAGTTCCGGCGCTGTTATATAGGAATTAATATATTAATATAAATTATTAGGAATTAATATGTAGCTATAAGATAACTATCTACTAATCAGATGTTTTTTCCTTGGTATCCAAAACGACTGGAGAAACTTTAAGTTCTAGATAATTTCGGTTCCTGATCCGATCAGATGGTTACATCTATCAGCAGGTGCTTATAATAAATAACATATATCTTTTAGTAAAGACTTATAATTTTTTTATTATATAAAATATCTGGGTGTTGCTAATACAACAATAAGAATAAGATATAACTAATTTATGATAAAAGAAATTAATATAAGCACAATAATATATGATTAGAATTTATTTTCGTTTAGTTTTATTTTCAGAAGAATAATATACAATAAATAATATAGGAATTTGACTAACATAGAAATATAAGAGTAAGGTCTAACTAATCAGTAATTAATGAGAACTAACTAATTTTAATATACTGGAATATAATTTTTTTTTTATTTTATTTTATTGAAATTTACAACTGTATTACATAGAAAATGCAATAAGTAAATGTGACATTGGTAACATGACATGTACAACATGAAGAGAAACTACCCATTGGTAAACTCAAATTAAAGTTCTATATTAGAAGGTCCTGAGGCCATCTTCTTTTCAGACGCCTTATCAGGGATCGAGGAGGAAGCAAGGTTTGAAACGAGAGGATTCGGATGGTTCTGCAGTTTGTTATGGAAGGATAGGTATCTGGATTGGGCCAAATGGGAAACATATGGAACATTAAGGTCTTTATGGATGATTTTATTTGTGACAAAGTAAGGAGCGTTGAGGATTTTACGAAGGATTTTGGATTGTAAGGATTGGATACGAGAGAAATTCGATGGTTTAATGGAGCCCCAAAGCTCAATTCCGTAAGTATATATAGGTCTTATTATTGTCATATATATGAGTCGTTTGTAATTGATTGAAAGCTTAGAGCATTTGTCTAGCAAGTGCTGCAGTAGTCGAAAACGTCGGGCGGTTTCTAGTCGTTTCAGTCTGGTGTGGGGGTTCCAAGTGAGTCGTTTGTCAAGGTGGAGTCCTAAGTATCGAATTTGTTCGACAGGGATAGGAGGGCTATTGTTGAAGGATACTGTAGGACAGGAAGGGGAATATAATATTTAAAAAAATAAACTAAAATACTAAAAGGATTTCTAAAATAATCTTACATTCTATATTAGTAAATGATGCATGGTATAATAATTACAATATTTGAAATGTCAAGATATATTTGTAGATATAAATATATTTAAATTATTTCAGTTATCAAAGTAGGCAAAGAGAAATATCCCAAAATATTTCAACTATAAAATTAGTGGTTGTTTGAATTTAGACGAGAATAAGAATTTATATAATTAAAATTTCTTTTTTAATTTTCTTGTTTTGCTTAATGGATGTTTTGGCATCCGGTTGAACAGATATGGTTCCATCGTTATATTTTCCGATATTATGAGTTGATATTTGAAAAATATCGGTATTTTTTCTCGATATGTACATTCATATTCAACAAGTAGAGAACGATTTATACTTGAAGGCATTATTTAAAGTGTAGCAAGTGAAAGGAGTTGTGAGGGAAGTGGCTGGAATTGATACGTCTGTGTTGCCGCTTCTTTGGCTTCTTTTGTCGTCCCGAGGTTGCCAGCATTCCAGGCATTCTGGAGCGTCTGTAGCTTTCTTCCTTCGGATTGAGATATTTGCTTTTTAACAGCATTCGAAACTGGAGAGAATTAAAAGATTTCGTTGCATACCAAAAGAGGTTTATTCGTGAAGTATAGATACCGTCCAAGATAATATTTGGATTTCAGTGTTTTAATTTGGCTGCATCTTTTGGTAATAGTGTTACCCCAAGTAGGAGTCTTGGGGGTTGAAAAGATTTAAAATACCCCCATAAGTTTATTTAAAGAAAAATTTCATGAAATTATCAACAAAAAGAAAATAAACAAAATTAAGGTGTCTGCTTTTTACCACTCGATAGAAGTGAAAACATCAACTAGGAGAGCTTAAAAGCTCCATTATAAGGCGGATGAAACGCTGCACATTTCCCTCGCTTACAGTATGCAGGTCCGATTTATAGTTTCTGAAAGATTTTAATCCATATTTCCAATAAAACTTATCATTTGGTTTTCGACATTATTTTTTCCCTTTTCGTCTCTCTAAAACGGCTTAGCGTTAAGATGTAATGTTAAATAATAGCCTATTATAAAGAGGATGAAATGATAAAAAATTCCCCTCGCTAACAATATGCAGGTACGATTTTTAGTTTTTGAGATATTTTAATCCACATGCAAAAACATTTCAATTAATCGAATCCAACCGACTTTACCCGAGCGTTACATATTGGAGAGCTTTAACTGGTTAGCCAATTAAAAATTTCATAAACTTAAAAGTTGAAAAATTGAAAAGTTTTTCACAATAATGCTACTTTTATTATAAAAACAAGGGTAAAATGTAGATGGTGTCAGGAATATATCTCCCAAAACTTAAAACACTTGTTATTGCAATGTCCTAAGCTGACTGGGAATTTATCTAGGAAATTATATTGTTCAATACAATAAACAATCATCCATAGAAAATCTTCTAAATATTGATAGTGTGGAAAAGCTAAATAAGATCTATCTCTCTTTCTTAAAACCATATATACTTAAACAACGAGTATATATAATTTGTGTAACAAACCGATTACTACTTGATAAATACCAAAAACTGGAGCATAGTTAAGAGCGAGACTTGAAACGTTAATTCATTATATTTTTAAATTATATTAAATTTATTATAAACATATCTTAATATGTTGTTTTATGAATAACTATTTAATTATCTATGTAGTATTAGGAATAACTATTTAATTATCTAAATAGTATTAGTAATAAATGTTTAATTATCTATATAGTATTAGTAATAAATGTTTAATTATCTATATAGTATTACGAATAACTATTTAATTATTTATTAAAAATAAAAAAAATTAATTCGTTGTATTATTAAATTATATTAAGATGTAAGCAATGGGAATTTACCTATGTATACATATTTATATCTGCTTAGATATGCTTTCATTGTCATACTAACAACTACTAACACCAAATGGGGCAAATTAAATGGCTAAAAGATGTATATGTTTGCCAATAAACTATCTAATAAATAAATTTTCTTAAATTTACTTTTTCTATACTTTTATATAATCATTTTTTTTTCAATAATCAATGCTATCAAGAATTACATTTATTTGAATAAAAGCGCCCATAAATATATGATGCGTAAGACAAAAAGTAACATTCAATCTAGTTCAATTAATACAGTTTTTTTAAAAACTTGTTTATTTTCTGTAAACAATGTTAACATTATTTATTTATAATCGATGTAATAAATATTAAAAAACTGACTGAAAACTTTCTCAACGCCATTTCTGTTGGCCGTTTGCGGTACAATGCATTCTGACAATTTTGAAAAAACAAAACAATTTACCACAAAAACTTTTAGAGGTTAATTTTGTTATTTGTTTATTTTTTTTAATTCATATAATAGAAACATTTTGTTGGCTTAATATACATCTTAGCCATAGATTCTGGCCTATTTAGTGTTAATAGGAATTAGTTTTATAAGTAGAAGAAAATAAGTAAATAAGTATAGTGTAAGAAGACAAAAACACTAATATTTTTATATAACAAACATCATAAATATTTTTATACTCCAAATATTTTTACTATTTATGCATAGATATAAGTATGGTGAAGGATAAATTATAATGCCTAAAGTGAGACGTTAAGGGAACTGGAACTGAAAAAAAAAACGTATCTATTTGAATACATAACCCAATAAAAATCCAGTGAATCGAATACTGTTAATGGTATTTCTACTGTTATTTGTTCTATTGTCGTTGCTACTCCTGCGATATAGCAAGCTATGAACTACTTGAAATTGCAGAAGCAGTTGTGTGGGTCGCTGGGACTTAATTCCTCCCAAGGGTCTTCTAAATGTCCTCTGATAGTGGTTTGAGGCCAAAAGATATTGTATCCAACTCCTCCATTATAGCCAAGTCCACAACTTGCTATATACAGGCTGACATTAATTTATTTTTCTTATAAATTTATTTATTTATTATTGATGGATTTTATAGATACGAATTTATGTGGTTAATTTTTACCCTTATAATTAATTATAAAATGTTGTTATGTATTACCTTCATAATTGATATTTATAATAAAATTATGGAATGTCTAATGTGAATAAATATAAACGATAACAAGATGACTAATGAAATGTAATTTCCGATTGTTAAAACTTAATTTCAGATGATCGTAAAAATCTTAATTTGAGTTAATTCTATTTAGAGTTGCTATTTTTTCGTAACAATTATAGAGATATTATATCGCTACATGTAATAGGGTGTATTAAAAAAAAACCAAATAACTATTTTATCAAATTCAAGGTTTCGAAGGAATGTAAATATTTTAATCCCATTTAATGCTTACTAATACGTAATAATCCCTTTACAGCCTCGGTTTAGTTTTTCATTTCAAAGAAGAAACTTTACTATCCTAATAAATTCTCGCAATTTTAAGGCATAAGAAGAAAAAAAAATCACAGCGACTTGTGAAATTATTAAATATGAAGGAGAAGTTGTCCTTAACCAGCGCACTGCGCGGCGTTGGTTTGTAAAATTTAGCAGTGGAGATATGACGTTGGAAAGAAAGGAAGGCTCCGGGCGACCATTAATGGATATTGATGAGGTTCTGCAGGAAGCTGTTGAGTCAAATGCGTCCGCAAGTACTCGCGAAATTTCTAGGAAGTGATGTGTGTCGAAAGATACTATTAGTAGCCATCTATTCTCCATGGAAGGTGAAAAAGAGCAGTAGACTGGTCCCGTTACGTCCTCGCTCCTCAGCAATCAGCTAAGAGTTTAGAAATTTGTGAAAATTTATTGAGAAACACTTCTGATAAGAGCTTTTACCGAAAGATTGTCAACTGTTATGAAAATTGGGTTTACTGGCGAAATCCGAATACTAGTGAGCAATGGCTCGATCGTGGTCAACTGCTTTTCCGATTGCTGCAATGGGGCAGTTTGAAAAAAAAATCCATGTTTTGCGTTTTTTGGAATTTTTAAGGTGTTATTCAACACGATTTTTTTTCCTGATGGATGTTCTATGAATTCTACTGCAAACAACTGGAAAGATTGTACGCTAAGTTGTCAGACCGTTATTCTGCTTTAGTCCACTGAAAAGGAATTTTATACCAACAAGATAATGCTCGTCCTCATACTTCCCGGCGAACCAAAGAAAAATTTAAAGAAACTTCATGGGTTCGAACTCCTGCCTCATCCACCATATATTCCAGATCTCGTACCATCGGATTACTACTTATTTCGATCCATGGTCCATTTTCTTCAAGGGAAAAAAATTAATAATTTTGCGGGAGTTTAAATTGCGGTCCAAGAATTCTTTGGCAACCATCCCAAAAAGTGATATCAAGCAAGTGATCGAGCAACTTGCCAGCAGATGACGAATGACTTTGAGTATTAATTGTATTTTATATTAAAGAGATAATAATGCAAATATTTGGTTGAAAAGCGGTCATTATTTTATATATATTCTATTACTTTAATACGGAGGTTATGTTATATTAGTCATTATTATAGGGTGTTTTATGAAATTTAATGTTATTTTACTATTATTTTCCATGGTAGCAATTTGTTTAAAATATACTAAAATAAGTTACGATTTTAAAATAGAAATATGATATTCTAATTTGAATGTCTCTTCTGTCTAAACAAAACTTGGTTCATCGCAATATTCTTTTATTCCTCGTGTCTTTAGTGCGAGAGTAATCAGAGAGTTGATTTGGTCGCCATCTTCCTTTGCCATCAGGTGGGTTAAACGTCCGTGTCTAATTCCACGTGAATGTCTCTCTTATGCGCTTTCTGGACTTTTAGGTCCAGTTACTGCCGGTTAATTTGATTTCCTTTAGTTTCTCGGTCCATTTAATATTGTCATTCTCTTACAAAATGATCTTCGGGAATAAAAGGAGGTAGATTCCACATATATCCGATATATTTTATCTGATTTTACCCTGATTCTATTTATACGCAGCAAGTTTGGAAGATTGGATAACTTGGGATTTTCTTGGAGATTAAGGGTTTAATCATCTGTTGGAGCCTGGGAGATTTATCTGGCCTCGAGAGGTTGGGGTGTGCTCGATTTAGGTGGCTTTTGCGGACTAATTAGTGTGGTCTTAGTTTCGGTCGTATTTCATACCAAGCCTCTTTCGGACCGCCCTCTCTTCCAAAAGTCTCTTGTTACTTTCAAGTTGTGCTATGTATTACGAAAAATACACTTCATATTTAGGGAAAGATCTTTGTCCTATAAGAATACCAAAAAATTCCCAATTTATAAAAAAAAAAATTGTCTGTCTACGTTGTAAGAACTTATTTAAATTATACACAGATAGAAAAAAAGAACTTTATATATATCCTGCCAAAAATTACATTAACAAAAATTCTAAAAGGTATACTTATGCAATAACAATATCATATTTACATCGAACTCTTCGTCATATATTATTTCTTATAATATATTACAATATACAATATGCATAATTGTACCTCAAGAGCTACAAAAAGTTTTTAGAAACAATGACCCAATTTTCTTCAGAAAAGTAGGAAATTCAATTTTGCGTTAATTTAAGTAAGTCATGTTTTTGATTCGTATTTATAAGTGACAAATGTTAGTGATCTTATTATTTACGTTTTCATGAAAATAATTTAAGGAATCTGCACATTTCCTTATTTTAAATGTTAATATTAAGATCAGGAACATTTGGTTTTTCACTTATAATTACAAGTCAATTCATCTTACAGGGATCTGGATGGAGAAACACAGTTGCATAACTACGTTACATGACAAATATTTTAAAATCCTTATGTTAAATATATTTTTAATAAATAAAAAGTGTATTTAGGAAATTATGTTTATTATAATACATCTCAGATCATGAAAAAATTAGAAATAAAAGCTTTTCAACAATTGATTGTAGTATTTTTCTTGAAAACACGGGTGCCTTTATGTGACAGGAAATAAAATTACATAATTTTTTTGTACAACTTGAGGTGAATTTTTTTTTGCCTAATAAACCTCAAATTAATAATATAGACACAAATTTTATTTAAAGTTTTTATAAAAGTGTGTAGTACAGTTGGTTCTTGATAAAAAAAAAAAAAAATCGGAAATCATTTATGATTATTTGGAAAACAGAACATAGCTTAATTTAGCTGCTCAGAAGTCCTCTTTAAATGAATTTAATAATGACAGACTCTATTTTCATTTAAAGTAAACTTTGTCCTGTTTACAGCGAAGTAATTTATAGTTACTTAATTTAAATTTAATCTTTAGTTTTCGCTTCATATTCAACAAAAAACACGACTTACTTAAAATAACACAAAACCTGGATTTTAGGTATGCTATTACTCCTATAAAAAATTTCCTCTTCTTACGGACGACCCTATGTAAGACCAAGATTGGTAAAAACAAATCGATTTTAAAAATAAAAATTGAGGCAAAATAGTTACTAATACTTGACAATTTTAGTTACTATATGTATAGAATCGGTGTAACCAATATACTTTTGCATTTAACTCTTCTAATTTTTCATTCAGACTTAGTTAGGTTTCTCCTATCTAAAAAATTACAGTAATAAGCTAGTAGGTAACTGCAAGACTGTTACGAGAGTCTTGTGCAAGACCAAGACACGTCTCGTTCTCACATTTGGGCAACACTAACGATTATCATCGTACTATATTATACATATAGTAAATATTTGGTATAGTTATATAATTTTTTCGTCTGTTGGCCACAATAGTACTCTATTTTTTTTTTATAAAGTTTGAAATAGAATAGGAATGTTAATAGTAAAATAATGGAGAGTAAGGGATTTGACAGGGCAACAAGGGCTAAACATTTTATATAGTTAATAAAAAGTTACATGTTATTTTTTTTTGTTTTTAATTTATTATTTTAATACGTTTGTTTTCTGTTTTCAGGTAATTGTCAACGTTGATTTATATACTTCGAAGTGACTATCACCTATTGTGAGTAAGCAAACATCTTGATAATCTATTATATGATACTATATCGTTTCCAAGTGGTGTGTGAATTTCATGATTGCTATAAAATAGCTTTTCGTTATTTTGTAAGCCAGCTGACACTATAACAATATAAGCTATGAGCATTTTGATTATTTATAATAAATAACCTCTTCCCTCCACATTTCGAAACTCAGATGTATTCCAGTATAGTTCACCTTTTCCACCTAGATAATGATTTATCTCTCTAAGAATAACCTCACTCACAAAAAATAATAATAATATTCCTTATAGATGACTTGGACGGATTAGATATGATTCGACTGGCATATTGTATCATTTTGTGTTTTGTATTATTTTTGCTTTATAAATAGTTTATAAAATAGTTTTTCTTCAACTAACTTTTTACTATTTAGTTTCAAACAAACATACACAAATACCATTCTTGATAGTTAAAATTAATAAAATTGGGGTTCCTCTCTTGCAGTCTCGGTATTATTCTATCACTTATTTAAGAGTGATAATTATCTTTAATTTATTGTATTAAACTACTTCTACATCTTATGGATTAATTTTATCATCATTTATGATACCCATAGAAAAAATAATGTAGTAATAATCGTTTCAAGTAGTATTTTAGATATGATGGATGTTCAATATTATTGATTCAACGAAGATTTCCTTTAATGTTACGGACTTTCTAAGGAATACTTTGCAAAAATTATATTGACTCCTAATATAATTATTTAGCGCCCATGATAATCATCTTGGTACGATTGCTTTTATAAAATTTACTGAGTCAAGATCAATTTATTTTTTTCTAGCCATAATTCTAAACCATATCCATATTAATATGAGCAAATTATGCTTTACTAGTATACCCTACCGAAAACTATACATAAGATTTATGTATCTTTCTCCGCAATACATTCGATATATATGTGATATTAAGAAAATATGTTTATTCCTTTCAACCACATAATGTTATAAAAAACTATATTATCGAAAACTGGTTAATTTTAGGACCTTAAAATACAGTTCATGGATTTATCCTTGCTAAGAAATATTTAAAATAAGAATTGTCTTGACCTGGCAAATTCCTACCATCGGAGTATTGATATAACTCCTATTTTTACTTTTTCATGAAATTCCATTTGAAACTTCTTTTGTCAAAATCCACTTCTTCTGAGAGGTTTTACTTGGATCTTCTATAACGTATTATAGATTTTATTTATGGTCGAGATAGATTAAAAAAAAAACCTTAAAATGAGTTTTGATGTGTATAAAAGCATCATCCATCTTATTGTTTAATACTATTAGTTTAACTAGGATGAATGTTAGTTCATAAAGATAAAAAATGTTGTTGTTGCTAAGTTAGAGAATGATATTACCCTCGTCACTCGAGCTGCCAGGTTCACTGCCCAAAACAAACCAGTTAACTCCAGCTGACGTTAATGAAATCGAGGTTTACGTCGTTCCTCTACCTGTAGGCGAAATCTGTATCTGATTACCTGTAGTCGATGTTAATTATAATCTTTGAGGCGTTCAAAGTAAGATAGAAGTTACTCATTTATAATCTTAATAATTTAAATATATAATTATATTATATTTTGTGGTATAAATGAACGTGTAAACAAGGAATGAAGGAATTAGTATATAAATGGAAAAGTCCGAACCATAAAGGGTCTCCAACATACAGATGCACAGTTAAGCTGACAAAGTTTCGCAAATTCAGGCATAATGACGGAAAAAAACAAGATCACTACTTATATGCAGAAGGAAAAAAAATATTTTCAAGCTTCATCTCAAAAATTTACCTTTATATATTACTTTTAAAATGTGTTTTTTGATCTGTACGCCATATCTTGGTCAATTTTTTTATCAAATGCGATGGTTGAAAATTTTGAAGATTCGCTACTCCATCAAGAAACAAATAATTTTATTTAAAACTCTTAGAAATTTCGGGAAAAAATCTATGAAGGAAAAGAAACTTTATTATGGGATTAGTAAAAAAGTATACATTTTTATGTTAATTTGAAAGATATGTAAATTCTCTACAAAACAAAAAAAAAAAAAATCTTCGGGTTGAAATCATTATTACCTGCGATACAGGTTATTGTAATTCATAAATATTTTGGTTTAAAACATAAATAAACATTTACAATAATTTTTTTCCTTGGTCGAGTACAGTTACCTGAAAAATAGAAAGTGGTTTCTTCATCTTATGATATGTTGAATAATTTAATTTCCTTATGATTTTGTCATTTATTCACATAACAATATAGTTTGAGAATTATTCGCACGGGCCACTAGTTTAACTTAATTAATGAATATATATATATGTATATATATATATATGTATATACATATATATATATATATATATATATATATTTATCCCTTTTAATGAGTTGTTTAATATAACTTTTTTCTGAAGTTTTTATGCAACCTTCCGTTCTCCTTAAGTATGTATTTTGGATGGCGTGATTAGATGTCGCTTGTAAATCCAAGGCTAAAAGAATACTTCTTCTATGCTCCGAGATTTATACAAATAACAGTGTGTGACCATATTTTTAAGTGAACTAGAATGAATGCTTCAACAGCCACTTTTCTTCTCAAATATCAACGTATCTACATGAGGTATAAAGAAATTTTTATGTTCTTTCTAATTTATTATTATGAATTTCTTCCCGGCATGCATATATTATGAGTTTTGTGGAAAAACTCGACGAAAACAGCTATTCCTTGTGAAATAAGCAAACAGTCAACATGCTGTAATTATTCACCCGCTGTGTTTTTGCAAATATTTCGGAACGAAATTAAAAATTTCGTTTGGCAACTTCAAATTAACATTCAGCATCCCAAAAAACATAAAGAACAGAGGAAAAATGAACTATTTTTGTTTCCCTTTATGTGATATTGTTCTGTCCTGATGTCCTTATGTCGTGACCTGGATGGGCGAAACGTTGTCAAACGTTGATTGATGTACTTTTTTTTGGTCCACCTCTTCCTCGCTTTTTAGGTAATACGGATTTTTCCCGGGTAAAGGGATGAAGGCAGGGGATTAAAGACAGAGTTAAAAGCCTTCCCGTAATTATTTTATCAATAACTTAGGTTTATCTGGTTGTGAGTGACTTACTCCTTTATTTGTTTTATTGGAAATGTTATTAATTTGTGAATGTAGAAAAAATATGCATACATTATATATAATATATATATTTCATATTATTAATTTCGCCTTGTTGATGTTTTTACTACTATCATGTTGGTCTTAATCACACAAAATTGTTTTGTTTTTTAAACCATCAAGGACCTGTTAAACATTATTTTTTATAGTTTATTTTTTCTTGTGGAGTAATTAGTGTTATATATATAAAAAAAAATTAAAATTCACAAATTTAAGTCCATGAATTTTTACTGGTGTCAATCGATATATTTTTGTCGAAGTTTATAGTATCCTGGACGAGATAAGCATTCGGTCGACAGCTGTGATGGGCGTTGCCTAATGGTAATCCAGTGAACAGGAGGCAATGCTGACCACATCCATGTAGCCATAGGCCTCCCATTGCAGATTAGATTAGAGCCTGCTTTGTCCGGGCTATATTAGGAAGCTTGGGCTACCGTGTCCCGCGCCTTTTGCGGCTGCGTGTTGAAGTCTTCTGCGCATTATCTGCTCCGTGTTCGTTTCTAAGTCTGTTATGTTTAAAGAAACATGTATCCTGAGAGGAGTAGTCCGTGTTACATTAATCCTCACGCAAAGTATAAGTATCTGTTTGATGATTTAAGTCAATGCCCCTGTAACCGTCACTCGACATTATTTTATTACTATAAGGCTCTCTATAACTCACATACTCAATTATACAGATATATATATATATATATATATATATGTATGTATATATTCTTTTTTTTCGGTTGGCACTACAGATCAAGAAGACGTGTTTGGCCGCAAGATTTGGTCTTCGTACAGACGTGTGATACTTGCGGGAGCCAAGATAACCTATACCCAACCTCACGTTGCTACGAACCATGGTTTCCATGGTGTAGCGGCAGGCCACCCGTAGCTCCATAGCCGATCCCTTTGGGGCCAATCTGGCAATGTCCTTCCCACCGACTTTCTCGGGTTCAAGGACAGTGACAAATTGGTCTAGATCCATAGATTTTGGCTGCTCGGAGTCAGCTGGCGCACGAGGACCTATATTTCGTTCCTCGAAACAGACCGTCCATGGACCGAACCATAGGGGGGCTATCAACATCCTGGTAAATCACATCCCGATTCCCGATTTAAGTACACGGGGTAGGGCCATCAGTCCTACGCCCGGTCTGTGTGAGTTGTCTCCAGTAGGCTGACGGGCCTCACATACCCGGGGGGGAGAGAGCATAGCTTTCCCTGGTGGACGGTCACCCAAATCGGGCGGTCACCCATCCAAGTACTAACCACTCTCGACGTTGCTTAACTTTGATTACCTATTGCAAGCGCCTTAGCCCGTACGGCTACCTTAGTCCCCCTCCCCCATATATATATATATATATATATATATACACACACACATTTAAAACCCTGCTATTACACTTCCTCTTAACAAAACAGAAAATGGATAACCATATTTATTAACCATTAATCATGTTTTACGTTTGAATACGCACTTAAATTTCCTACAATATATTTTTTACTGAAATTGTATTATATCTAATTGGTTTAGAATATACAGGGTGCCCCGTAAATAAAAGATACATGATAACAGACATCAAGAGCTACAAAAAAGTTCATATAAAGAATGCGCCAATTTTCAGCAGAAAAGTAGTGAAGCCATGTTTAGTGTTTGTTTTTTTAAGGGAGTCGTGATTTTTATTTGTATTGGAAGCGACAACTCAAGAAATATTTAATTTTATGCAATTACTTCAATGTAAACTAGACAAAATTTACTTTAAACAAAAATAGAGTTTGTCATTTTTTGAAAGCATTCAAAGAGGATTTTTGAGCTGATAAACTAAGTTAAGTTCTGTTTAAAAAAATCATGAATTATTTGCGATTTTAATTTTTTATCCTCCGACTATAATACAGACACCCCACTTTTATGAAAAACTTTCTTGTTTAGTAAGATTTAAGTCCATATTAATTACGGTCAGGGTTTATTTCGAAATAAGTTGAAATCCAAGTTATGTAAAAAAATTATGTTACCTTAAAGTACCAGTGTGTTCAGAAAAAAATTCTACAATTATTTTTTGAAAAGCTTTTATTTCTAGTTATTCCTTGATCTGGGGTGCTTTATAATAAACATAATTGCTGAAATATACTTTTTATTTTTAAGAAGAAAAAATGTAAAAATAATGATATTTAAAATATTTTTTAAGTAAATTTCTTATGGAACTGTGTTTTTTACACCGATATGTATTACAGGAATTCTTGTATATTTATACGAGACATAATAAATGGTTCTAGTGCTAAAATGTATGTTTAAAATAAAGAAACAGCAGACTGTTTGCTACAATAGGATCAAGAATATATATATTGTAAATTTCAATAACAAAAATAATAAACTAAAATGTATACAAATCTTCTTTTTTTTTTATTATTGAAATTTACAACCGTATTAAATGATAAATACAACAAGTAAATATGAAATAAGTAACATGGCATACACAATACGAAGAGAAACTACCCATTGGTAGCACTCCAATTATATTTCTATATTAGAAGGTCTCCAGGCCATCTTCTTTTCAGACGCCTCCGAAGGTCATCAGGAATAGAAGAGGAAGCAAGGTTAGAAACAGGAGGATTTGGATGGTTCAGAAGTTTATTATGGAAGGATATGGTACATTAAGATCGTTATGAATGATTTTATTTGTGACAAACTAGGGAGCATTGGGGATTTTATGGCGGATTTTGGATTATAAGGATTGAATACTAGAGGAATTTGATGGTTTATTAGAGTCCCAAAGCTCAACTCCATATTTCCAAATAGGCCTTATTATAGTAATGAATATTTTATATGAATAAAGTAGTATATGAATATTTTGTAAATAGTTGGATATTCAGAGCGTTGGTCCAGTAAGTGCTGCAGTAGTCGAAAACATCGGGCGGTTTCTAGTTGTTTCAGTCTGGTACGAGGGTCCAGGTGGAGTCTTAAGTATTGGATTTGTTCAACAGGGATAAGTGGGGTATTGTTAAAGGACACACACACACATATATATATATATATATATATATATATATATATATTGTTAATTTCAATAAAAAAACAGGAAGTCATAGGTTTACGACTAAGAGTATGGTAATTTGATGGGATCTTTTTTTATCCTCCAGTTTTGATATTATTTTTCAATACTTGTGATGTTGTGATTGAAGAGTTTGGAATGCTATAGATGGATCGTTATTAACTGATAGGATATATCATGTGCCATCGGCATAGGTGGTGATGATAGTGTTGGGAAATATAAAAGTATCTAGTTTATTTATTAGTAAAAAAAACAAACAGAAATAGACCACAAAGAAATCCTGTCTTTCTCTGTAGATCTGCCAGTCATTTAAACCTCATGTTTGTGGGTTATCAAACAATTTTAAGAACCGTTTCGCATGACTACCACTTGAATCCTATCTCTAATCCAATTTAGCCGAAGACCTGACATTGAATATTAATACCGAATTACTGGCAGTCCTATTGATCCGCGCTCGACCATGAAGATCATTGTGTTTAGTAGAATGACTCTAAAGTAAGGCGGGTTGTAAAAGTGTTTTCCGAGATAAACCCGGAGAGGGAGGATTTTAAAGGCCGCGGGCGGGCCGAGACGAGAGGTTGTAGAGATATGCAAATTAAAGTGGACCCTATAAGCACTAAGCCAGATTAATAGGAGAGATCCCCTCCCTGCCGCCCCCTCCCCACCTCCTGCCTATTTCTTTTCCTAATAGAGTTAAGAAATTCACAGCTTGGTCCTCGGGGTGAGGAGTCTTCACTGCACTTGCTTCTGCTTCTACTGCGGATTATATTGTACCTAGTTCTGCCTTAAATGCTGTGAAAAAACTTTGTTTACATCCCTGGGTTTTAATTAGATAATCCTTACCTCTATCAGGTTATTTTCTTTACATGATAATAATCCCAATTAGTTCGTATTTTTCTTTCGCTCAGTTAACTTGGAAAGGGTTAATAAAGAAAACGGAATAGCTGTGATCGTTGTGCACAAAGTTAGAAAATGTAAGTCACTGATTTTCAATACTTTGAAAAATTTGGGTATCAGCCGTATGTTCGTGTATCGCACTATAAATAGATATAATGAGATCATATTTGTATGTGACAGACCTCGACCGTGCCGTCCCCGCACTGTGAGAACGAGAAATGCAGTGAGAGCAGTGGATGCTCGAATCAGAAGAAATCCTATTCGAAAACAACATATCATGTCTTCGAAAATGGGAATTTCTGTCAGATCAATGTCTTCAATCAATCAATCAATGTCTCGCGTAATAAAAAGTGACCTTAGGATGAGTGCATTTCGAAGAATGACAGGACAAAGGCTAACCACTTCGCAAAAAAAAAAATCTCACTCCTTGGCAGTTACACGAATGGTCTTCATCGAAAGATTTTGTTTAGCGATAAGTAAATGTTTGCAATTGAAGAGAAATTTAAACGCCAGAATGATCGTTTGTACGCACAGAGATGTTAAGAAGCCCAGGAAGTCATTGTAAGAGTGGAAAGAGGTCATAACCTTTCCTCTGTGATAGTTTGGTGGGGAGTTTGCTTTGAAGGCACCGCAAAGCTCCATTTTTGTAGAAAAGGAGTTAAAACAGCAGCTAAAAACTACCCGGACCATCAGCGGATGCAAAAGAACATTCCAGAGTTCTTCTCTTCCTCGGATTGGTCCCTGATCTCAATGTAAATCCCTGATCTCAACTCACTAGACTATTGGCTTTGTTCCGAACTGGAGAGGATGTCATGCCATAGAGCCCACCCTAACTTGGAGAGCCTCATCTCTGATCCGATCAGTTGAGCCCTTTTCTCAAACAGTGCTTCGTGCTGTTATTGATGACTGGCCACGGAGATTAAATGCCTGTGTCAAGGCAAAAGAGAGACATTTGGAGTATTTTTTTTTTCTGCTTTATGTAGATATAAATTTTATTTTCTAAAATAAAGTGTTTTAAAAAAATAATTTTTCTGTTGAAATCTGTATATATTTCCTTGTAACAATGTTTATGACAGGACTAATTACAAAAATTATTCATTGATTCTTGTGTGAGTCATGGATAAATATGAATATGTAAGAATTACAGATATGGATAAATGAAAATCTTGTGGAGTCCAAAGGTTCGATGTATAAACATTTACCTCCACTTAATTACACTTGTTCGGGAATCCTTAAGGTTATACGACTTGTAAGTCGTCCTGTATGTGTTAATCCGTATGTGTTAAGCAGGAGGCGGGGTAAGATGGCTAATGCAGTATTTATCACTATCTACATATGTTAACAGCTCTTCCTAGCAAGCATAAGATTTGTATAGTGGTGGACTATGTAACTCAATACTATAAATAAGTTTATGGCAATGTTGAATTCAGTTATGACTAAAAGCACCGGCACAGAACACATTGATGTAATTTTCCCTTCATTACATTACGTTGTCTCTACTCCAAGACAAAATTAATTTTTTTTTGGTATAATTCAATTAAAAGATTTTTTTCGCTCCCATTCACTAATCATAAATCCCTAAGATTTTCTCCATAGTCAACG